TATATAAAAATTTATATACGAATTTATATACAAATATATAAATATATATATACAAATTTATATATAAATATATAAAAATATATATACAAATTTATATTAGCTCTCAAATCTCACTTTCAAGTATATATAAATATATATACAAATATATAATTGCTCTCAATTCTTATCATCAAGTACTATTATAGAGGGCTATGAAACATAATACATATTTACATATTTATGTACGACCGTAAATATGTATGTTGTTTCATAGCTCTATATAATAATACATGGATATGAAAAAAACAATCATTTTTTCATTATGTATTATAAAATGTTGATAGTGAATAAGTTTATTGCGTGAATGCTGCATAGTTGCTGGCTCCCAACAGTCCCAAGTTTAGTGAAGGATGGCTCCCACAAATCCAACTCCAAGCAAATATTGATGGTTGGCTCCCAACTCCCTACTTGTTAAAGCATCAGACGAGGCTCCCGTGACCCGTCAGGGGTCAGGCTGTCATCCAAGCAGCGCGCCGTCGGCCCGCCGTACATTCGCGATATTTTTAAAATAAATAAATATGCACAAACTATTTGGGGATTGGTTATCAGGCATGCCGCCTGGATATTCACCTCTTAATTTAAATATGGATATGGAAAAAAATTATGCAATACGTAATACGGGGAGAATTTTGGTTTCTAAAATGTATTTTGAAATACATACGGCCAAAAGCTGACATGAAATATTTAATATGCGACCTAAAAATAGAGGACACACCTCTGAGTCACAAACTGAATATTGCACCGACCCGGCATGCACAGACCTTTCGTTAATATCGTCATAGGGTTTTAGTGGAGTTGTCTCTTATGCCGTGTGTGCGGAAAATAAAAGCTCACAATCAATCGTCCTTTAAAATATGTCTTTTTTTAGACTCACAACAAGTTTTATATAAATTTATATTTTCATATATAAAAGTATACTACTGACTCGTTGGATACAATCTCATATATACACACATTCTAATTTAAAACGGTCCTGTAGTTGAATACTCAACGAACAAACAATGTCAGCTTCCGGGACGTACGTGTGCCTTTGTAATGCAGTAGGATTTGAGCTAACGGGTGAGCCTGCCTTAGCGTGTTATTGTCATTGCAACACCTGTCGTGTTTACGGCGGCGCTCCTGCACGAGTAGGTGCATACTCACCTGAGCAGTTCAAGCTCACCAAAGGAAGTGCAAACTTGATTTCATACGAGAGTGGACCGGGAAAGATTCGGAACTCGTGTAAGACCTGCGGTAGTATGATCTATCATATTTTACCGAATGGCTTGGCCGTACCCCCCTTGGGAGGAGTCAAGTGGGCATCTGATGGAGTTCCAGTTGTGCCGACTATGCACATCTGGTACGGCGACAAAGGACTTGAAGAGGCTAACGACGACTTCATAAAGTACGATGGTTTCCCGGCAGGGTTCGCTTAGATTTTATGTGCCCAAAAACGTCTTCTTCCTGGCAGCACGTTACCTCGGTGTCGGACTTGGAAAACGTGAATTAGTTTTTGTAAAGCACAAAGTTTCTGGACTTACCTGCATAACCTGAACGACGATATTTTAAATACAAAAGTTACTGGGCATGTTTTGATTTATAGTATGATTACAAATCATCGTCTTTCTCGTTGAAATTCTGTGACGAATTGTCGAGCGACGTCTCAAAGGATTTACGCACAAATAGGCTGCAAGGTACACAACAACAACTCTGCATTTCAGTGTTGAAATATAATACCACATATTCTAAAACATGTCAACTTTGTTTCGCATTACCATGAGATGTATAGTTTACACGCTGCTTTTTAATAATCATAGGGCGTTAGGCGTCTGCTGCCTGTCGAGTGGCGCTGAAAACCGACCAGACAATGAGGGCAAACGCATAAATTGGCCTTGGTACATACTATCAACCTTTTCAGTTTTGTTTCTAAATATAGCACCACATAGAGCTATTCTAATAAATAAGTACATTCAGTTTCGCATTAACCACGGGGTAAACTTTAGTATATTTGCTGCTATTTAGTGGTATCGGTTATAACAAACGAATTTTATCTGTATATCCAAGCAGCCTTATTACATCTATAAAATGTTCAAAACGCATAAGCAAATCAAAACGAAAAGTATGCATTAAACCTCTATTTTAGGGTTTAAGGGAGAGAGAACACCAGTATCTCGTCGGTTTGGTGCAAATAGGATATTGTTCAATTTGAAAGCAATCAATGATTATTCGCAATATATTCGCAAGAGTGTGAGTTGGCTGCCGCCTTCTGCAAAGTCAATTATCAGCTCATATACGAACAGCGTCCCATTAAGACCTGTAGTCAGCGTTCGGCGTGTTCATAAACGCTTCCCATATGCAGAAATGTAGCAGCGAAACACTCTTGACAGTGTAAGCTATTGCAAAAAGAAATAGTGGTCCTTGCGCGTGGTGTTATCTTCACCACGACTGGTCATGTGTATGTATGAGCCGACCGAAAGGTTCAGTACTTCTTTCTGTTTACTACCGTTCGATATCATTGTATGGGCTGAAGTCTTGTACTGAACACAGAATACGAATACCAGACTGAATTTTTAGGGTGAAGGTAAAATAAAATCAGCGCCTTATCATAGCCTTCTAAATCAGACAAGGCTATGGCCTTATGCATTAATCCACACGTATTAGCTGATCATATTTCATTTATATGACTTTCATTTCCGTTCTTGGCAGCGTAGGGTTTAAGATATGCTTGAATTCAATTCTAATTTGTTTCCGGCTTCGCTGGTAGCGTTAGAGTTTGCCGAGGTATATCTGGAATCTGCACTTTGATATTCCCATTCTCGCGTACTGCTTCCTGCCGCAATAGGATGATATATACTCTAACGTCGCGAAGTCCAATTAGATGAGTGATATTATAGACCGTTCAATAGGCAGAATTCCGAATCGCCTGCAACTAAAGTTTCCCTTAGCGACGATATCAGGAGGTGTGAACTCATATCTCACATCTCACAGCTTGTGATACGCTAAATCACATGCACATACAATGTGGCGGTGTGGTGCGATTGTTAAACACGACCAAGGCCCATAAGAAGAAATTTAGTGTCGTTTCCTTGGCGACGTGCATCGATCATCAGTTTACATCTTACAACGGGATAAACTATAAATAAACACGAAATAGTAACAAACTGAAAGTGTATAACTATTAAGATTCGCGTACACGGCTCTTCTGCAATGAATGTAAACAACCATGTTGCAATGATTCCTTGGCTTTATTCGATTGCGATTTGGTAACACGAATCAGTGAGCTGTGATCACATGAAAAAAAACAGACATCCAGTCCGCAAGTATCGGGACATACATGTGTTGTAATCAAAGCTACCCAGCGATACCGTCTCCTGCAAATAGCACATTGACGACATAAGCAAGCATATTTTCTGCAAGATTTGTGATGGCTACCTCTATACTCACACGCACTCAAACTGGACCTGACCCCCGATCAGAGGGTCAACAAATGTTCTTCAGTTTCAAACGCACTATCCGCAATTTTCTATATATGCAGCAAAATACGTATATATATGACATTGATTTACGACAATACGATCGATCCGAAAGTCTCCGCAGGCAATAGTTGCAGCACAGACAACATGTGTGCCGTGAATTCTAAGAAAGCCGTAGGTGATCGAGAGTTCAGAATTGGGTGTACCTACTGCAACTGTACACATTACACGGAGCGTCATCTCTCCGGAACTCGTGCGAGCGTGCTGTAGCGATTGCGCGCACCTTGAGATCATCACAGAGCCATAATACGGAAGATACTTCAACTTGTGCCGATAGGTAACAACTGGATGAAGCACAGTAGGTGGTTCTCTGCATACAATCCTAAGTTAACGATGACGATGACCGAAAGCACTTAGTAGTAGAAACTTTTTTTTTCCCGAGGAGGTCCATGCTCACCTGCTCGGCCACTACATACCGTCGAACTACAGAGAACGCGGTAGTACATGCACTTCAGGACGGGAGGATTCAACGCAGAGGCAAAATACGATAGCACACTCCGTAGCACACTGCCGGGTCCACTAGGGGCCGTGCGTATAAGTCTATCTCAGCAGATCTAACTCTCGGCTCATCAAGAAAGGAAACATCGCAAGGTTGTACGACAACCAGCGGATATAAACGGCGCTCCATGTTTAGGATGTAGCTCTCTACTCTCACGAGGATTGAGGAGTATCGGTGGAGCCAGCGGCATTGGGCGTAGAGGAGTCGACGGGCAGCTGCAGCTCATTTGCGGAGACGTTGGCAGAGCTTGTGCTGCCACTGCGGTGCGCCCACTGCGCGTCAGGTGATGTGCAATGCGAAAACAGAATTATACTGTTGTGAGCGGCCGAGGATTCGCTTTATAACGTATTCGTTGGGAGGGTACTTGGAGCGATTTAAATCAACAAGTCATTAGGGCGACTTAATATGTACTGCCATTCAGTGCAGGTTCCAATTTGGATTGTCAGCAAACACCAAGAGAATGGCAACATGTGCAGACTCAGTCAATGAATTGCTCGTGCTTGTGAGCATATGAATGATGCGACGAAAGCCAGGTTAGAAAGATTGTAGCTCGTCATAGCACGACTTTGGAAATCGCCTGAGAACTAGATTGAACGAACTTATGAGACGCTTGAGTCAACACTTACTAATATTAATGACACATTTGCTCATTAACGGTCCTCGAAAATGAACAGCAGCAAGAAACTCTAAAAATACACACCAGCGATACACAAAATGTTACAAGCGACGTACAACATGTTCTAAGTGCCGTACACCGCGTTACAAATGACGTGCAACATGCTATAAGTGACGTACAACATGCTATAAGTGACGTACAACATGTTACAAATGACGTACAGCATGCTATAAGTGACGTACAACATAATATAGGTGTTGTAGGAGTGTGACGATAGCTAAAGAATATTTGGTACAGTGAGTACACAATGAAATGAATCGGGACACTTCAACATCAAACCATAAACCATAAAATCGCACTCCATTGCATTTAAGCTCATAAATACTTTGTGTGAACGATTCTTCGGCCTGTTTGAAAATAAGCCCCATTCAGCAAACGAATGCATGCGCTAAAACACGTCTGGCTGTTAACATCTATCCGGTGTAATTTTAACATGTACATTCGCGCATATATTTTGTGTGACGTTTGTTTCCAAACTACAATCCTGTCGGAATCTCATCCAAACACCTCAAAGGTAATTTATAGATACATTCACGTTTAGTCACATTTTTACATAACATCATATATACACGCATAAAAGTGAATGGCTTAACTATTTGGTGCAGGGGCATGTCCTCACCCATGCTACATCATATACAACGCTTGAAGGTGTATTGCTTGCCCATTTGGGTTTTAGGGGTTAGACCTCACTCATGCTACATCATATACACACTCATCAAAGTGGATTGCTTGCCCATTTGGTGCAGCTGCATGTCCTCACTCATGCTACATCACATACACACACATGAAGGTGAATTGCTCACTCATTTGGGTTTTAGGGGTTAGGCCTCACTCATGCTACATCAAATATACACTCATGAAGTTGAATGGCTTGCCCATTTGGTGCAGGGGCATGTGCTCATTCATGCTACATCATATACACACTCATGAAGGTGAACAGCTTACCCATTTGGTGTAGGGGCATGTGCTCACTCATGCTACATCATATACAACGCATGAAGATGAACGGCTTACCCATTTGGTGCCGGGCTGCATGATCTGCAGGGGCATGTCCTCACTCATGCTGCGGGTGCGAATTCTGTCTGTTGGCCCTGGCTGTCCAGTGGAGTTAATGCGCAGCAGACGAGGCGCTGGCACTTCGCCCAGAGAGCCCTTGTGCGACGGCAGTTGCGCACCGTTGCCCAATTGCTTGCGCACATTGGTTGGCGATGTGAGCAGGTTGAACTGCTTCTCCTCTTCCTGCTCCATCTCCAACTCCAGCCGAGTCATATTGCGAGATAGTGTACCCACCTGTTCCTTCTCACGTTCTAATCTGTGAGTTCATGGATTCCAATGACCCATTTCAGTGTAGGCAAATATTGGGTCAGGTATCGATGCAAAGCAACGACTCTTTCTCTACGCTGCAAGTTCTTTCATGTAACTGCTACATAAGACCAAACCTACACATTTTGCACGACATTTCAACTGATGGTAAGCAAACACAGATTCCAGAATTTTCGATAAAGATCTTTCGACGAAGATAGTTCGACAAAGATCTTTCAAAAACGATCTTTCAACAAAGATTTGTCAACAAAGATCTTTCGACATGGAAGGAACTATCAGTTGAAACCCTTCCTTACGCTACACGAAATATTCAGAGCCTCTGCATAAAATTTCATAATGGCGATAATAAGCAGTCGCCCTGATGCCAGTGTACTACTCTTGATACCCTTAAGCGGCCAGTTTCAGGCAGCCATTCCGACTTCGATAGACTATCCTTGGGATAATCAATTGTACATACCCGAATCAGGTTCATGGCCGTATCCATGCCTATATCTACTACCAGCTAGTTTCCATCCAAACAATTGCATACAACTACAAATAGATCGACATGAACTGAAATTTCCGAGGAGCACCACGACAACACATATACGCATAGACATACGTACACACTAAACTACACCAGACCGAACTCCGTCACACAACAATGGTTAACTTACAATTGCTGCAGATGAGTATTGTCGCACTGCAGTTTGTGTCGTTCGGCCTCGTACTCAGCCAGATGCTTTTTCTGCTGCTCCTCATTGTCCAGCAGTGCCTGGCGCAGTCGCTTCACTTCTTCATTCACATCTCCACTCGTGAACCCGTCCGAGGAAAATCCCGAAGCAGAACCTTCATTTCAGGGGTCGTTGGAATCACGTGAGGAATGAGAATAACATGAGGAAAGAGAATAGGGTGAGGAAAGATAATAACATGAGTAAAGATAATAGTACGAGGAAAGAGAATAATATGAGGAAAGAAGGCGTATTGTACATAATACAGCGCTTTAAGTACTCGAACTTCCGGTCTGATATTCACATACTTCACATTTGATTTCGCAGTATGAGTTGCTGTACAGCGAAAACACCTGCATCACATGTTGACTAAAACCACTTCAGATCACGCATCACAGAACGCAGACCACATACCCGCCAGGTTGTTGAGACTGGTGGTGGATGAGCCCTGCGACAATTGCTTCTTCAGTTCCGTTCTCTCCTGCTCCATATTTTCCAGTTTCTTTTGCAGGCGATTGACCATGAACTCCGCTTCCTAATGTTTTGACGTCAACGAAATTCAGTAACACTGACCGTGACACTCGACTAATAACTATTCCGCAAACATGGTTTGCTCTGCTACAACATAATAATCAACACACGTACTCGGCCTGTACATCAAGGACAAAGCAAACGAATACGAGGCTTTGCAACACTACCTTTCCATCCGCAATGAAGCCTAACCTACCATATAATAATACTAGACATCCACAGACAACCTAATGTGCTTGCCAAGAGTTTACATGTACAACCTGCATGACCATCTTATACGCCCCATTCCAACATATAACATCGAACTACAGGTCAGAATCACAGATACGCTACAGGTGAGGTACAAACGTACATACAGAGAATAACCTCACCTGTTCGAGAGCATTCTCCATATCGCCCTTTTCTTTGCGCATCTGCTGGATCTGCAGTTCCAGATTGTTGCTCACTCGCTGCTTGGCCTCGATCTGCTTCTGCAACCGATTGACAATGAACTCCTGCTCTTGTTCCAGCAGATTCTCCATTTCAATCTTCTCCTTCTTCACCTGTGAGCGATAGTTGAGTAATCAGAATTAAGACAAGCGACTGCGAAAGGTGTGACTTCACTATACAATGATTGGCCTTGAAGTACTTGCTACTTCACTATACCATGTTTAGCCTTGAAGTACTTGCTACTTCACCGTACAATGATTGGCCTTAAAGTACTTGCTACTTCACTATACAATGATTGGCCTTGAAGTACTTGCTACCTCACTGTACAATGATTGGCCTTTAAGTATTTGTTACCTCACTATACAACGATTGGTCTTGAAGTTCTTATTACTTCACCATACAATGTTTGGCATTGAAGTACTTGCTACTTCACTGTACAATGATTGGCCTTGAAGTACTTGCTACTTCACTATACAAT